GTGGCAGACAGATAGAGGGATGAAGTGACGGATGTGTGAGCGGGTGCATAAATAGATGGATGGATGGATGAAGGGGATGGATGAAACAAAATATGCATGAATTAATGGATATGAGCACTGATAAATGAAATTGACGGAAAATTGTTGCATGGGTTCATGGTAAGATGGGTGAAATGACGCAGGAATGAGCAGATCTATACATGGATGAGTGTCTAGAGAGATTTGTGGACGAATGAGGGGCCTCACAGACGAATGGATAGGTGCACTTGTGGAAGGATGGACTGATGAGTAGACTGACTGATGGGCGAATGGAAAGATAATTATATGGACGGATAGAAGAATAAACAGACAGATGGATGGATGGATGGATGGATGGATGGATGGATGGATGATGGATGGATGGATGAATGGATGAATGGATGGATGGATGGATGGATGGATGGAGGGATGGATGGAGGGATGGATGAATGGATGGATAGACATTTGGATGCATGGATAGATGGATAGATGGATGGATGGATGGATGGATGGGTACAATGAAAGATACATAAACTGTGACATTACTGTGGATGGGACATAATACAGTTATTTGTATTCTACATTGTTCTTCCAGCACGCCATAGTTCAGAAAGTAATATTCTGAGAAGTAGTTTCAATGACCCAGGGTTTAAAAAAGCGCTATGAGAGTTTTCTTTGGTTTTTAGTAAGTGTTTTACGGCACTTGCAACACAAGACGGTCATATAAGTGTCAAAGTTTGGAAGTGTTACAAGAGAGTAATTAACACACAAAAGAAGGAGGTGAGAAGATCAGGACGATAGATGTTTTATAGGAAAGAAGAAGCAAACCATATCAGAGCACCCGCCAACCACCAGTCAGAATTTTCTAGAACTCGGATTAGGTGGAATATGTCACAGAGTATTTTTCAAAGCTCAAACACAAATTCAAAACCAAACCTGGAGAAGCAGAAGGCCTCAATGCTGACCTCTGACGTCATAGATGTTAGTGACGTCAGTGAGGTGTCGGACAGGTCAGAAACAGGGGACGTTGCGGAAGTTGCCGTGGTGCTGGCAGACGTGAATGACGTGGCACTGGTTGTCCTAGCAACGGAATAAGATTAATAGTTAAATTTTAGTAGAGGTTTTACAGCGTTCGAGACTGCATAAGGTCATATGCGCGCCAGAATATTACAGGTGTTACAAGAGAGTAACAAACGCAAAAAAAAAGAAAACGGGGAGATAAGGACGGTAGATGTTTCATAGGAAAGAAGAAGCAAACCACACCAGAGCACCCGTCAACCACCTTCTAAGATTGATAAAAAGAGGAACATCAGAAGGCGAGAAGGGTATAAGAATATGTGAGAAGTATAATTGTTAATTTTTATGTGTAGTAGAACTGACATGCGTTTTTGTTTGAAATAATAATATTATGGAACAGGTGCAGAGATATAATTAAGTTGGTAGCAAATGAACTTGAGATGCAGAAAAGGAGGAAAGGCAGGACAAACAAGAGATATTGATTGAAAAAGTGGTAGAAAAAGAGAGAGGGAGGGAGGGAGGGAGAGAG